CTGCAGAGAAACTTCTAAGATTTCTGGAATCCATTAAAAACCAAAATGTCACAAGAAAGTTATTCTGGGCTCTGCAAAAACACAATTTTACACTTCTGATGTCCATTGGGCATGTTTGCCTGTCCTTGGAAGGGATCACCATTTCTTTCTTCACTCCCTTTGTCTTTCTCTCTTTTCTTCCAGAAAAATGGAAGGAAGCCAATGTATGTAATGTTAAGTACTTAACAAACATTATCGTATTTAATCCTCCCAGCAGCCCCTTCTGAAGTTCAGGCAAGCTAACTAACTCAACCCAGGTCACACAGCCAAGGATGTACTTGCAGCCTTGACCCTACTGAATCTTTATCATTTTTCTCCCTTCCTGCTGCCAGCAACTCCTAATCGCACACCCTGAGGTGTGTAGCACTTCCCCCTACTTTATAGAAAAAGGTGTTGGCTATGAAAGTCCAGGTGCAGGCCAGAAAAGGACCAACACATTGCCTCCCCTCCCAGCTGAAGACCATGTTTTCCCATTTGCGAGTGGATGCACCAACTGCAAACAGTGCAGCCAAGAATGATTTCAGAGCATCTGGGTCCACAGTCCGGAGCAGATCGGTAAACATACTTTTCGTTACATGTTTTACTTCTTTGCAGGAGACAGGCAGGTGGCTCTGAAGCCTGCTGGTGTGGCTGAGTGTAGGGAAATCGCAGCTTTCCAGCTGGTGAGGACCAGATTGGCTGTGACAGGGCCCAAGAATGAAGTTTAGCCGGCTGCAGTTTTGCAGTCAGATCTGGGCCTTTGAAATCCACTAATGACCCATTCCTGGACATCAAGGCCCCGGAGGCCTTCCAGCCTGCCTTCATTTGGATGCATGTTAAGAAGAAAGGGAGTAACAGGCTTGGACGGGACGGACGGGGCAGAGAGGTGTTCAAGGGGAAGCTCAGCCATTGAATTGCATCACACACAGGCAAGTTCCAAAACATAGGAGGAACACAGCCAGCAGCCTCCTCTGGCTTATCCTTCACCCTAACTCCAGTGTGTGCCTGGGAACTTTCCAGAACTCTCCTGACTGGGTAAGGCTTGGGAGGTCTGGACTGGTGATGGTGGGATTGCTGGACAAGGAGCACTGTCTGTCTGGACAGTGGTCCAAAAGCATCAAAGAAACTTCCCTCGCAGAGTACCAGGCCTCGTCTTTTGGAAGCAAATAGGATGGGTTTCTTCTTGGCCTCACATGTCCCCCTGAAGGAGAGGAACAGTCAGGACACCCAAAATCAAATCACGTTTCTTGAGCCTTCTCTGATCTCCTAGGAATTAAAGCTCCCTTTCAGGGCTTACACAGAAATGTGCTGTCTTTGCTTTTGGCAGTCTTAGCCCTAAATTGAGATGGCTGGAATCCGCTGGGACTGTCATTCCTTCTGGGGATAAAGCACCTCAGACACAGAACAGCCCTGCTTGTTCCTGCTGTAAGGTGAATCTTATGACTTGTGAGGTGTCTCTCCTGCTAGGCTGAAGTGATCAAGAAGGTAGGTAGGGCTCACTTTCCTGCTCGGGCCCAAGGCAGAGTACAGGGTCAGTGCAGATGGGTTCTTTGGTGATGATGATTAACAGCTGCCATTACAAATGATTATTCAGGCACCCTTCGTGTTCAGCCCTCACTCAGCAGTTCATCCTTGGAGCAATCTCAGTGGCTCTGGCTTCCTTTACAAATAAGACAACTGAAGCACAGAGGGGTGAGGAGATCTGCCTCAGTAAGAATAACTTACTCAGTTAACTGGGAAATTGGCCGATTCCAAACCTGCCACGTGCACTGTAACATACTCCCCCTCCCCCAGACCTCTACTTCTCCCACTAGTCTGTCTTTTGGCTCAGAGCAGTGGTCTGGCCTGAACTGTCACCACCTTTTGAAGGAAGTGACAAGCACCTAGGATGCAAGATTGGAAGGCCATTAGAAACCAGCAAGTTCAGACTTTTATTTTTCCAATGAAGAAACAGCCCTAAAAGAAAGAATGAGCACCAGAGCTAGGCAGAGAAACGAACTGTCTTCTGAGTTTCAAAACCCTGTTTCCTGGACCCTCTAGGACAGCCACTCACGCCATGAAATTTTATTCTTTTACATAAAGAGAACTATCAAATGTCTAACAAAATTCCGTGTAGGTGTTAAACCTTCTGAGGACTCTTATAATGAGAATTACTTGGCCAGGTCAATCAAGAGTGCCTTGGCAGGCCCTGCATCCCAGTGTCTGGGTGGAAATTCTGTCCTGTAAATCTGTACCCCGAGGGGGGGAAGCCTTTAGGTCAGCTTATAGAAAAAGAAGGCACTAGCAGAGGTAGTGCTTGCACAGTGGAAAGACCACCAGAGAAGAAGAAAGTAGAGCTCATCTCTCCCTGGCTTGCTGGTCCCAGCTGTAGACCAAGAGGCTGACCACCCACAATGATGCTGAGGGCAGAAATGGGCAGTGACCTTATAGGAGTGCTGCTCAGAGAGGAAGCAGAGAGCTAGGCCTTGTACCGGTTCTGGGGAGGCCCCTCTTGCAACTTCCTTCCCCACTAGCCATGAGTTCTTCCTGTAGATCTTCACCTGCCTCCCAGAAAGATTCTCTGTACCCTAGGATCTGAGAGCAACAGAGACCGAAACCGAGCATCCAGCCTGAGTGGTGTTCCCGGGGCAGAGGGCAGCAAGGACTTGACACACTCAAGCAGGTTCAGGAATGGCTATTTGGCAGGAAAGCCACAACCTAGCAGCTGTCAGGGTAACTGAGCCCCAATTATCCACACAGCCCATGGAGATAGAGGAGAAGACAGGGCACTAAGCAGATGCACAGACCCATTCCTCCTATAGCATCAGGCCCCTACTCTGGTAAAGGCCATCACGGGACAAGCCTATGACATCCTTGATCCTGGATTTAGAAGACCTGCTTCTCTGGGGACAGACGGTGAGGGGGGAAGAGCAGCTTCCCTTGAATTCTAACTCTATTTGCTATGTCATCTTGGGCACATCCCTTTACTCTCTAAGCCGCAGTTATCCTACTTGTGAAATGGAGACAAAAACACCCACCTTCTAGGATCATTATTACTCACAGTAATAACGTAATAAGGCAATTCCTGGCTCATAGCAAGCACCCTCGCTGACTGGCCTTGCCATTAGATAGATGATGCCTCACCATGGTACCTACCTTGGCCTCCTGGGTAGCTTTGTTTAAGAGTTGTCTTTGATGTGAAAAGGAAATGTCATTTCTGATTGCTGGGAAGGATTCCTGGTTCTTCTCATTGGTGCTTTTTCTGTAGCAAAGGCCCCTTATAAGATTGTGTGAGGGTCAAAAGAGAAGCCCATGTCTCTTCACTCATGCCTACCAAGGAGACTTATGAGCCTGCTCTGTGCCATGTCCTAGATGGTTATGGGGCAATACTCAAGGTACAGTGCTTGCCCTGGAGAAGCTCACACCCACATCCACGGAACACAGCGCGGTCACTGTGATGACACTGTCCCCTGCAACAGGAAGGATCACGAGGCAGAGCCGACAGCAGCCCTGACAGTGGGGCCTGAGGCTGCAAGGTGGGCAGGAGCCTGCAGCAAGGGCATGGGGAGGGGGGTCCCAGCAAAGTGTGCTTCCCCCAGCACGTAGGGGAATTGTTGGGACATGCAGGATGGCTGCATTCATGGCTGTCTAGGTCGGTGAGCCAAAGTGGAAAGGGCACTGCGGCCTGTCCAAGCACAACACGCAGGCTTCCTCCTAGAGGCACCAAAGGACACGTCACCTCCCTGAGAGCTTCATTTTACACCTGTCAATGGGATTAGGCAGGTTGTGGCGAGTGCTGTGTGAGCTCATGAGTATTTGAGAGTTTAGTTAACCAGCAAGAGTTGCCCAACGTGAGAAATGATCATCATCATACCCAGTGGAATGAGATCAGCTCCGATAAAGGTGCCATGCCTTGAAGAGGCTGAGGACTTCACCCCGGGAGGCAGTTGAGTGGAGCCCTGTCAGATTGGTCCCATTTGAGCAGGTAGAGCCTGTAGGCAATGGGGCCACTCTGGGCCAAGGGCTGTGACCACTCCCACGGGACTACTCTGTCTACAGTAGTCTGCTGGTGCATGCAGATGCCTTTCCCGGTGGTGCCAGACCAGGAAGGGGACGCTGTAGGAAGACTTCGGAAGTTCATGGCCAAGGTTTTACAAGTCAAGATGAAGGCAGGTAGTGCCAGGGGTACCTGAGGCTGCTCAGACACAGTTGGTAAGAGGTGCCAGTATGCGGGGCAGAAGGAGAGAGCCATGGGGCTGATTCTGGATGCAGAGTTGGTATCTGACTGGAACTCAGGTGGGACTGCTGGGCTGCAGGGCCCATGGCTAGCCCCATCTGTTTCCTAGCAGGGGATATGGTTTGCTCTGGGTACCCAGCAGGACCACAACATTGGCAGTTGGAAGCCAGCAGGTAGGTGGGTTAGAGAAGGCAAGGGGAAGTAAACGAAAGGGAGGTTGAGGATACACACAAAGATCAGGCCTGCAAAGCTGTGGCTGCTGGAATGAAGCACCAGTTTCAAGGGACAGCTTGGTGTCTGGAAAAAATAGTGACCTCCTCTCAGAAGCTCCCCAGCTCTCTGGCAGCTGAGCAAAGACTTCAGCTTGCTTGGCTGCAGAAACCACCTCCCAATGGACTCCGACTAGCATGTGAGTGGCTGTATGTACGTGGGTAGGGTGGGTTGGTGGGGAGTATGGCTGGATTTGTTTCAGTGTCATAACCCTAACCAAGCCACCATAGTCCCCATGCCTGGACAAAAGCTCCCTGCTATGCTTAGGCACCCCACTTGTCCCCACCACACCCTTGCTTAAGGTCCCTCTGTGATGTGTCTGCAGGCTCAGCACTCCAGCAGGCCAAAGGCCTCTTCCTGCTGGCCAGGCTTCTTGAGAGCCTCTTGCTTGCTGTCCATCACTGCCCAGCATGGGACAGAGGGAACACACCAGGGCCCAATCCTGACTCAGCAGCTGTGTGAGGTGGAGCTGCTGAGTCCCTCTGCTGAGGCTTACCTTCGTCATCGTCGTCGTCTGACACAGGAGACAGTAAAGCCTGCTGAGCACGATTATTCAGAGGATTAAATGAGGCTATGAGCCAGCTGGGTAACTTAGCAACTTAGCAAGACCTTGTCTGAAAAAAAAAAATGAAAAAGGTCTAGGGATGTAGCTGAGCGAGGTCTTTCATTGAACTCCAGTACTGCAAAAGAAAGAGAGCTGTCAAGTGTTTCGTGTGATGCAGGGCAAGGGCACAGTACATAAGTGGGCAGAAAATGAGGTTGGGCAAAACACTGAACCTCTGCACCACACCACTACACCCACCCCATCTCATCATCTGCAAGGTGGCGATGGCAGTAGCGCCTCCAACTCACAGATCAAGGGAGGGCTGCTGTGAGTCACTACTCACTGAGCACTTACCGTACATCATAGTGATGCTAAAAGAAGCAAACAGAAGAGAGGAACAGTTTTCAGGTAGGATCCCAGAGAAAGTTTGCTCCCTCCTTCACTCCTTTGTAGCTCTTGAAGGCCTTCTCCATGTTCGGCCTTGGGGTATTGTCATGGCTCAGAGTGATACCGCAGAGGTCACCTGGAGGGAGAAACAGGCGAACAGTCAAACCTTGACAGAGTGGACAGGGGGAATGCAGAGGAATATCCAGTGCTCGTCATCCGGTTGGTGGGATCTGGAGAAGCTTCCCTGAGGAGGGGTCTATGGCCCTGTGCCTAAAAAGATAGTAGGGATTGTCATGTGGCACACAGTAGGGCCGCACCAAAGCAGTGCCTGTGGCCTGGCCCTGAGCTCATCACATCTGGGCAGCAGCACCTGTTCATTCGGCACACTGCAAGCTCGGGGGTTGCTTCAGGGAGGAGGGCTCAGGACACAAGGGGCTCCCTGATTAGGGAGCACCTCTAAGGGTCCAGGGCCGAGAGAAAGGAGGTCAGATTAGCAAAATCCTTGCTGGGCTCCAAGGCTGCCCACTTAACTGCAAAAAGTACTTGCATGATGGCCAAGTCCAACGCATAAAGCCAAGCAGAAACCAGTCGTTGGATTGCAGCAGCCACTTCCCAGCGGGTGCAAGGAGCAGCAGGTCAGAAAGGCAATGCCACTGTCCCCCAGACGTCTCCTGTCCAGGCAGATCTTCCAGACACTGAGGAGCTCTGAACAACAGCCCCACCTGCACAGCAGTGGCCCAGAGCCTCTGGTTCTTTCTGCCTTTCCTTCTCCCTTCCAGGCTCACACCCTGCCCCCCACAGGGGCCCAACCTCATCATTTATCAAGATAAAATCCTTCAAAGTCTCTGGGCAGGAGGAGGATGAAAAGAGCTTGTGGGAGTAATAAATCTCCTTTGCCATAGGTGGTGAGCAAGGAATTCATCCCAGACTGTGCTCCTGAAAAATGAGAGGCTGTGTGGACAGTGTGTAGCCAGGGGGTGGGGGTGCGGTGCACAGGAGGAATGAGGCAGTCCACTCGGAACCACCAGGCATCATGGCTGGAAAGACTCAGGGCCTCTCCGAGTGCTGTGCTATAACACACAGCAGCAGAGCTGGACCTAGAACCAAGTAGTGAGACTCTCCAATCACCCCACACTGCCTTTGCCACATGGAGGGAGATGGTTCTCTAAAGCTGCACTTACTCGAATCTAAGAACTAACTGCATTCATCCACCTGGTCCTTTCCCGACCCATGTGATCATTTCCCACCCATTCACCTATGTTTACTTGCTACTATTTCCTGAGCACCTACTATGTGCCAGGCTCTGTGCCCACAGTAGGGTCCCAGAGGGTGGGGCAGGGCCCATGACTGAAAGCAGGCAAGAGTTCTGCCTGACATCCTCCCTCCTCCAGCAGAGAATACCACAGCCCACACACAAGGCAAAAAGAAGCCAGGCTGTCTCAGTCTGCAGCCTGGCTGCACCTTGCTTTAAGTCCAGCCTCTCCTCAGAAAGAGGCTTATTTGGCTCCCAGGCAAAGTGGCTTCTCTTCCTACCTCTCACTTCCGAGGTGATGCCTTGAAATAAGCAGGGGCAGGGGTTGGAGGACCCGCGGCGCTGTCCATCAGCAGGTGTTTTTATTTAGACTGCTATCGCGGAATACCGTAGACCAGGTGCTTTAAACGACAGACGCTGACTTCTCACAGTTCTGGAAGATGGGATGTTCAAGATCAGGGTGCCAGCATGGTCACATTCTCAAGGGCCACTTCCCGGTACGCACACGGCCATCTTTTCACTGTGTCCTCATGTGGCAGGAGAGGAGAAAGCAAGCTTTCTTCGGTCTTTTCTCGTAAAGACACTAATTCTATTATGAGGAATCCACCCTCGTAACCTAAGTACCTTCCAAGGGCTCCGCCTCCAGATACCATGATACTCGGGAGTGAAGTTTCTGTGTATGAGTTTGAGGGGAACCAGAAATGTAGTCCATAGCAATAGACAAATGGATAAATAAATCACTATAGTCACGCAGTGGGACACTGGAGAGCAGTTAGAATCAGTGACCTATGATTTTCCTTTTTAGCTTTAGATAATATCAGACCAAAAAGGCAAAGCATAGGTGCAACCTCCTTCTGCAAATTTAAAAACACACCATATCCCATAGCGTTTATGCACATATGTACATAACAAGAGAAATAAAATGCAGACAAAAAGGAGGCTTCCCACCCTCCAAAGTGATGACTTCCAGAGAGGAAGAAGGGTGAACAGGATTAAGGATGAGTGAGAGGCTTCTGCTTTTATATATCTTGTTATTTTTTTAAAGGGTCTGAAATAAATATGATAGATCATGGAGTATTAAAGCCCAGGAGTATAAATGCATAGATATTTGTTGGACTTCTCTGTACTTTTCTGTTTGTTTGAAATATTTCATTTTAAATAAAGATGTTTAAACAAAATCCAGACAGTCTGACTCCAAAACCCTCACGGACCCCAGTGAAGGAGTGTGAATCCAGCACTGTGCAGAGTACTCCACTGAGCTCCCCGCGTTCAGTCCTCTAAACATTCCGAGAAGCAGGCTAATTACCCTCATTTCACAAATGAGGAACAGCCTCAGAGGGAGCAAGCAACTTGCCCAGCATTCTACAGCTGTTAAATGGAAGGTCTGAGCTTCAGACCCCTGCATACAAGACTGCAAAGCCACACTACGCCTCTTCGCTTCTCACCTAAGTGAACGGCCTTTCTTATTAACACAGAAACTCACACAGACACCACACAACATGCAAACCAGCTCAGGGACAAGAGGGAAGAGTTTAACCTTGAATTCTGCCTCTCTTACCTCCTGTCTCTGACCTTTAAACAAGCTACATCTACCTTAACAGCAAAGTGCAAACTGTGAAGCTGCCTTCCTAGGCCTAGAGCAGTTTGTCAGGGTCATTATTATTTGCTAACTGGCTTGTTAGCTCAGATTGGGACCCTCACCATCGCATCGCAGAGGATGACCACTTTATTCTAGGCAGTTAGCAAAGGGTCTTGGTTTTGCTGGCTGAATAAAATACTTCTGCCCGGGTTGCGTCTGCGCTATATGACCTCAGAGGAAGGATATCTTAGTTCAGATGCCCAAAGCATCATTCCCAGTTCTTTCCTTGCCTGATAAAAACAGAACAGAACTTCTGGAGAGGTCAGAGGAAGGAAGAGAAGAGGGAGAGGAAAAGTTTCATGAGAGAGACTGAAGGCGTGTCATTTAGACATCTTCTAAGTGCCTCCTTCCAGGTTCTCTGTGTTGTCTTGTGGCTGATCCTGCCAACTCCTTAGGCAGTAGGTACTGTGCTTAGATTTTGACGTCTGTTTCCTAGCCTCATACCCAAAGGCCTGCCTCGTTTTACATAGGCTTGGTAATTTGACTTGCCTGAGATGACATAGCTAGGAAGTGACAGCGTTGAAATCCACTCTTTGTCCTGCATGAAGTTGTCCTATCATAGGGAACATGGGGGAGGGGGAGTCAGGATGAGAGGGGAAGGAAGATGTCATGAAACTATGAAGTTCTCTCTCTCAGCTGCCTCAGAAGCCAGGCTTGGTCCTGCGGGCCATGCCAGCGCTTGGGGGTTTATGCAGAGAGACATGATTATTTTTGTGATTCAGAAAGTCTACTCTCGCTGCTGCTTGGAGAATAAATTGCAGGGTGAGAAGCAGGAAACCCAGGTAGGAGGCTGTTATGGTTGCCCAGGCAAGCTGGACAAAGAACAAGTTATGGACTTGGGCAAAGCTGGTCACAAAGAAGAATAAGAGAGACTTGCAGGGCTATTTAAAATAGAGTAAATATTGGATAGATGGAGACAGGGATGGATGGATGGGTAGATGGGTGGATGGATGGGTGGATGGATGGGTGGGTGGGACTGAAAAGAAAGAAGAATCAAAGATGGGTGCACCTAGGATAGCACATATTAACTAACATGGGCTCCAAGCAGCCCTGGGCTGGGCTTCCAGAGATCCTTTTAAACTCTTCCCTGTGTACTTTCCTGGTTCTGAAATATGTGGAAATGTTTAACGAAATCCCACCAGAGTTATCCCCAACCCCCTACCTATAAGTCCAGTGCACACCAGCCCCTCTACCCCATGGAGACCTGCTGTATCCAGAGAGCTTCTGGCAAGAGGTGCCGGGCAGCAGGAGGCAGGGCGTCCAAACACAGATGCCGCTGGAGTAGGACCCAGTGTGTACTGGCAAATATTGATCCTGCCCCTTGGCCAGCTCAGGCCGCTGCCGGACAATGCTGGGGCCTGTTCCGGAGTTTGGGCCAAAGGCTGCAAGCCGAGGAATGTGGACGCTCAGGGATCTGTGTTTGCTCATCCCTCAGAGCTTGACATTCCCCAGTGTGACCACTCTCCAGTGAGTGGCCCTCAGCTCCAGCACCATGCAAACATCCATTCAGGATATTTGCACCGTGACCGCTCTGCTTAGACAACATTCATTAGAAAAGGCTTTTCTCCAAGCATGTTTCCAGGGTGTGAGGGGAGGCTTCCCCACCCGCCCCTTTTATCTGCCCCACCAGCTCTGGCTGTCTTGGGGAAGCCATGGAAGCAAAGCTCTTAAACATCATGGAGCACATGAAAACTCAATCTGTCATTCATGGAGGCATTAATCACTGTGGCCACCGCTGTAAAGATGACCAAGAAATGTACACTTTGGGATGCTCATAAAATGAGGTTGGGCAAAACATTTAACCTCAGCACTACCACCCCCACCGCCCACCCCATTGTGTCATCTGCGGAATGGAGATAGCAATGGTGCCTCCAACCTGAGATCAAAGGAAATGCTTTGTAACTGCCTGGAGCAGAAATAGATAGGCTCTGAGGGAGCTGGGGCTTTCACAGCAGGCTGTGCAGAGTCTGCAGGGACCGCTAAGAGCTGACATTCCCAGAGAGCTCTGGCCAGACACGACCGGCAAGGGTGGCCCTAGCGGGCTGCAGGGAAGGCTCAGATTCTTGGCGCTGCATGGCCACATGGGACCCATTTTCAGATCTCTGAAACAGGCTCACACCATTCAAAGGAGATCATGAAAATGAATCTCGTAGTGAGTCGGGAGGTGGGGGAGGCGAAACTCAATTCTGCTCATGCTTGGTTAGATTACTTTGGCCTAGAATTCCTAGTCTCTGACAGCAACAAAGGCAGCCTTAGAGCCCTTATGAGTAGGGCTCCCTGGGACAGGGAGCCCCCTAGGCCTCACCAAGCAACCTTGTGCTGAACCCCCTCCTGGCCTCTTCTGTCTGGGTCCTGCTATAGTTGGAACCCTCGCCTGAGGTTTCTTGGAAGTGCAGCCCACCAGGGGCCACAGCTGTGGCTTGTGGGTGTTTGGGTTTGGGGTTATTCTTTGGACAGTTTCTATCTTTATGTTTTGCTTTCCCAGCTTAGGCCTGAGCACAGAGTGCTGAAATGGCCCTTGACAATTTCCTCTGCTTTTGCTTGCACCGCCTTCTGGTTGCTCTTTTGTCATTTCTAAGACACTTGTCAAGGGCCTGCTATGTTAATCACGTTGATTAAGCACACAGACTCCAGAGCCAGATGGCCTAGGTTCAAGTCCCACCTCTGGCACATAATGACTGGGCTGCCCTGGAGCATTCCCTCACCTTCTCTTAGCCTTGGCTTCCTTATCCACAGCCCCTGTCTCCCAGGGCCAAGGGGGAGGACCAGGAGAGTGATGCAGGCGCAGAGATTTCCTAGCGTCCAGTACAGTCATCCTCGGTATCCACAGGGTACTGGTTCTGGGACCCAGCAGACACCAAAGCCCTGGAAGACTCAGGTTCCTTACATAAAATGGCCCAGTGTTTGCATATAATCTATGCGCATCTTCTTGAGTACTGTACTTTATCTCTCGATTTCCCGTACCTCACATAATAGAAATGCCATATAAGTAGTCAGCGCATTGTATGGTTTAAAGAATAATGACAGGAACAAAAATCTGCACCTGTTCAGTATAGATGCAATTTCTTCTTCAAGCATTGTCAATCCCTCGTTGGTTGACTCTGTGGACACAGAACCAGTGGATACAGAGGGCCAAGCGTATATCAGCGCCAGTGAGGTCTATATGCACATGCGCACATCTCACCAAATCTCACACTGGTCCTGTGAATTTGAGTTACCACTCCCGTGTAGTTAGGGTCACTAAGCACGTGACAGACAAAGGCTTGAACAGAAGCTCATGCTTCTTGAAGTCTTCGAACCTTTCTCTGCTCAGGTGTAATACCAAGAAGATCCACATTCCTTGCTGAGCATGATCTCAGTAATTATTCTCCCTCTTTCTGTTTCTCTTCCTCCTCACTCACCACTCATGCCCCACTCTGACTCTACCCTCTCAACTCAGCTCTGTAGATTAAAAATATTCTTGTGAGTCTCCATAGACCCGTGGCCCCCAATCTTTTTGGCACCAGGAACCAGTTTCATGGAAGATGATTTTTCCAGGGACAGGAATGTTTAGGAGGTGGGTAGGGAGGGGTACTGAGCATACAACCTAGGTTTCTTGCATGCACAGTTCACAGTAGGGTTCACGCTCCTATGAGAATCTAATGTGGTGGCTGATCCAACAGGAGGTGGAGCTCAGGTTGTAATTCGAGCATTGAGGAGCAGCTACAAATGCAGATGAAGCTTTGCTTGCCTGCCTGACGCGCATCTCCTGCTGTGCAGCCCGGTTCCTAACAGGCCTTGGGAGTTAGGGACCCCCGCCTTAGGCCTCGAGAAGCTTGATATTTCAGAGGCCAGTTTCCCATTTTGATGATTTATTCATTCATTACTTTTAGGCGCTGACAAGTCCTTGAGTTTTTGAGGGTTGGGGTGGGTGATGGAGCATGGGGTTGGAAGGGGAACTCATGTACAGAAGAACCCAAGGCTGCTGCAGAAAGCCAGCTGGCCAGG